TGAAAATTATGGATTAAAATTGCTATTGGCAATTTTACTATAAATCAAACGAGAGTAGAGCTGTTTTGTTCCTGGCAGAGAATTAGGAGTGACGGAGAACCGATAGAAGGAGCGTTCGAGTGGACCAGAGCGAGCCTTGAGTGGAAAGGTGGGCAGCTGAAGCCACCCAATGGTCTCGAAAGAAAATTTATTGCTTGATTTAAAACTTATTCGTTTCAAACTTCTTGTATGATTCTTAATTACCCTAAATCAATTTTAGTGTTGCTCCTCAAATTAGTTACTCAATTCTAGATGTCGTGTCGTTATGTAAGTGCTCAATTTAAATTTCTTGAGCGTGTTTTATATTATTATGTTTGGTTAGGGAGAGTTTTAGGTTGATCCATCTGAAATGGATCGAAGGTCCACTGCCCAAAAAAACTAACGGTATACGTAAGGTTCCGACCCTGTTTTTAACGGCGTTCGCGTTTCGCGTGTTTTAAGTATTTCGAGACCTGAGCATGGAGACCTTTAATTTCTAGAGTGGGGGAGATATTTTGGTAGTAGCCTTTAAGCTGTAACACGGGTTGACTTCACAGGTTGACTAATCGTTCCAATAACACTGTTAATCCTTTGAAACTGCTAAATCGGAAGCTTAGCTGCTAACAATTCGCAATTGCCAAATCTGCATTTTTGTCCATTCTGTTCGAATGTCACATGTTTTGCTAACAAGTTACGAAAATTAACTAACGTTCAAGTTGTTTTCACCACAAGAAAATTAGAATCATGTTAATCATCACTGAACTCAGCCTTTTCTAATGACCTCAAGTCAAGAGTGGCTTATAAACTGTCATGTAGTGGATGCACTTCCACCAAACTGTTCGATGTTTGACCACAAGAATTGAGGAACATAAGAAAGCAGACTCACCGGTAGGCCTCAACTTTCAGCAATGCCAACTTGAGGGAAATAGCGCAGATCTTAGTTGGGAAATTTTAGATAGGTCAAACAACCAAACAAAATTGTTAACACTAGAGGCGATACATATCAGGAAAGAGAAACCGGGCTTGAACACGCGCGATAAGTTTAGGAGCAGGGAGATAACACTGAAAATTTAGTCCCAAAATATTTTTGGTTTTTTATTCAAAACGTACATGTCTAAATCGAAATTATGACTCAGAACCTTCCAGACAAGTTATTTTAAAACGGTTTAATTAATTTTAGAGGTTAAAAGTATTTTAATCTTAATAGTAATTTAGAGGTCAACTGTGATTGGCGACTTTTTTAACATGATGGTTTAGAACGAAAATGTATGTGAATTATTGTAAAAAAGTTTGTAAATTGATGTTTTAACGTCATTTAGATTAGTTTATTGTAAAAATCTCGAGGATGCACAAAGTTGCAAAAACGTTTGAAATTTACTTTTTAGCAAAAATTTCTCTCTGTTTTTAACGGCGTTCGTGTGTTTCGGGTATTTTGAGAACTGAACATTGGAGCGTTCTTAATTTTAGAGTGGGGGGGGGGGGGGGGTATTTTGGTAGTAGCCTTTAAGCTGTAATACGGTTTGTAGTCTCATGTCGCAAGCGAACCGAATTGGCTCCGACCGCTTGAGGTAGAAAAACACAAGAGATAGGGTCCCTGACTCTTGAGCCAGTGGTTATAGGGCCCATTTTTCTTAACCTCATATGTGTCTTGAGTAGGCGACTGTTACATAGTGTTTTTATGGCGACATCAAGACTACGGGATCGAACCCACTTGACACAGCTCCTGGTTTCATGCCCATTCTAAAGTACCGGTGGTAAGGTTCAACGGGAACGTGTCCACCTTCTGGTTGTACCGTGATAGCTTTTTAAGAAAACTCGAGAAAGTTTCCCGGTGCACTTACCGAAACGGGGCCTAGCTAACCGAGTAAGGGGGACCACTAGGGGGACAAAAAACAGGTAAAAGACAAAAAGCAAAACAAAAAACGAAAAAATTTAGAAATAGGAACAAAAAAAGAGTGAACAAATTTTTAAAAAAAGGACAGTGGCCTTGATTTCCAGATTAGGTGGATCAATTCTTTATATCAAATACATAACGTTTTCAAATAAGACCAATCGTCTCGATCAAATCAGCAACGTTGAACAGCTGCCCGGGTTTGGGGAGTTGAAAGGGTTTTCAGATAGCCTTGCAACCTCAGCAGACCACTAGGAGACTTGACTGGATTATGTAACCAGGCAAGTGGGAAAGTGGTTCTTAGGACTGGGACCTGAGAAACAGAGAACACGCGACTAGGATGGGACTACCAGTAGCGTGATCAAAGCAGCATAGCAGTGAGAAAGGATTACAAGGGTGTTCTGCCTGGTCCAACGGGTATCGTTAAAATCCACTTTATACTTTAGGAGATAAATGTAAAAAAGAATAAGCGAGTCCCCACCGTTTTGAGGAAACTTTTTTGCTTGAGCAGAGCCTGGAAACAAGTTCTACGGACTTTCACTCCAGAGGTTTAGCACCCATCGCGCTTAAGGTAATTTTCGGCTTGAGTGGGGGGGGGGGGGGCTAACCTCCACATATCTAGCCCCCACTTAAGCCAAAAATTACCCATTTTTGCAATTGAAAATTGTAAAAAGGGGGCTTTCTTACAGTAACTAAGCAATCGATATTAGTCACATTAGAACAACCTAGTTACAGACTCACAACAAGAGTAGCAACGCGAAGGTACTCGATAGTAAACTCAAATTAAGGTAGGTAACCTGGCGGGATTGGGTAAGGGGATCAAAAATAGACAGTTTTTGGAGCCCAACAAGTGAAAGCCCCACAAGAACGTTAATAGGGGGGAGGAAAAAGGCGTGCCAGTCAGGTACCAGGTATACTAATTTTTCTTGTTTTCATTACTTTTCTCATTTGACTTTTACTGGTTTTGGGTTTGACTTTTACTGAATTTTAGTGAAAAAGCAATCATAAAACAAGGTTAAAATCAAGTCGTATTTCGACTTGCATTGGATCCAGGAAACCACGGTAATTTTAAAGGGATTCAGAAAAATTTGGTTAACAGGATTGGGTTTGGGAAAAATATCACAGCAGTACTAGAGGTGATACTGGGATAGTGGATTAGATATCCCAACACTGGAGCTAAAGGGCAGGGAAGTTCTTCACACGAAGCTCCGGAAGTGACATCGGGAGAACGAACGAAGTGATCAAACACAAGAACTACAGCAGTGGAAACGGTACAAGAGTCTTTGTGGCAGTCCTGGGATAGTGATCTAAGGGTTTCAACACTTCAGTCCTGGGATAGTGATCTAAGCGTCCCAACACTTGAGCGAAGGGCCCCAACAGTTGAGCCAAGGGTCCCAACACTTGAGCGAAGAGTTCCAAGACTTTCTCGAAGGGTCCCAAGACTTCACCGAAGGGTCCCAAGACTTTCTCGAAGGGTCCCAAGACTTTCTCGAAGGGTCCCAAGACTTCACCGAAGGGTCCCAACACTTGAGCGAAGGGTCCCAACACTTGAGCGAAGAGTCCCAACACATGAGCAAAGGGTCCGAAGACTTTCTCAAAGGGTCCCAAGACTTTCTCGAAGGGCCCAAAGACTTCACCGAAGGGTTCCAACACTTGAGCGAATGATCCCAACACTTGAGCAAAGAGTGCCAACACCTGAGCGAAGGGTCCCAACTCTTGAGCGAAGGGTTGCAAGACTTTCTCGAAGGCCCCAAAACTTTCTCGAAGGGCCCCAATAATTCACTGAAGGGTCCCAACACTTGAGCGAAGGGTCCCAACACTTGAGTAAAGAGTCCCAACATTTGAGCGAAGAGTCCCAACACTTTCTCGAAGGGTCCCTAGACTATCTCGAATGGTCCCAACACTTTCTCGAAGGGTCCCAAGACTATCTCGAAGGGTCCCAACACTTGAGCGAAGGGTACCGACACTTGGGCGAAGGGTCCCATACACTTGAGCGAAGCGTCCCAACTCTTGAGCGAAGGGTTGCAAGACTTTCTCGAAGGCCCCAAGACTATCTCGAAGGGTCCCAACACTTGAGCGAAGGGTACCGACACTTGGGCGAAGGGTAGCAACACTTGGGCGAAGGGTCCCAACTCTTGAGCGAAGGGTTGCAAGACTTTCTCGAAGGCCCCAAAACTTTCTCGAAGGGCCCCAATAATTCACTGAAGGGTCCCAACACTTGAGCGAAGTGTCCCAACACTTGAGTAAAGAGTCCCAACATTTGAGCGAAGAGTCCCAACACTTTCTCGAAGGGTCCCTAGACTATCTCGAATGGTCCCAACACTTTCTCGAAGGGTCCCAAGACTATCTCGAAGGGTCCCAACACTTGAGCGAAGGGTACCGACACTTGGGCGAAGGGTCCCATACACTTGAGCGAAGCGTCCCAACACTTGAGCGAAGGGTAGCAACACTTGGGCGAAGGGTCCCAACACTTAAGCGAAGGTTCCCAACATTTGAGCGAACGGTCCCAAGACCTTCTCGAAGGGTCCCAAGACTTCACCGAAGGGTCCCCAGAGTTTCTCCGAAGGGTCACCAGAGCTTACCGAAGGGTCCCCAGAGTTTCTCCGAAGGGTCCCCAGAGCTCACCGAAGGGTCCCCAGAGCTTACACTTGAGCGACGGGTCCCCAGAGTTTCTCCGAAGGGTCCCCAGAGCTCACCGAAGGGTCCCCAGAGCTTACACTTGAGCGAAGGGTCCCCAGAGTTTCTCGAAGGGTCCCAAGACTTTACTGAAGGGTCTCAGCACTTAAGTGAAGCAGACCAACACTAAAGCGAAGGGTCTCAACACTTGACTTAAGGTTTCTAAATTCCTAGCGCCACAGTTTTGACCAGTTTTTGGAAAGAATTTAGTAGTTTTTTCTTATTTTTAGATTAGATTTTACAATAGGGACTTGTACATATTAGAAATGTAAATTAGAAAAATTGTTTATAAATCCTGAAGAAACCAAGAGTGTCACTAATGAAGAAGAAAGGAATAGGATTAAGCAAAACCAATCCTGAACGCAGCGGAAGCTAACACCAACAAACCCGAGATTAATGAAGAAAATTTTTTCAGTGAATATGGTCAACACAAGAAGCACCAAGGAACAGAAGACCAAAGAAAAACTACCGGAAGAACCAGATGTACAGGTCAAGGAAATTGATGTTGAGACGCCACATCATAGCATAGATGTAGCGGAGCAAAAGACGACGGAATCAACACCTATGCCGAATGTAAAAAAACAAGGAACGAAGATAATTGAGTTCTCACCAATAGGCAATGGAGATGAGATCACCAACAACACACCGGAAACGATAAAGGACGATTCGGAAACTAAGAAAACGTCGTTTACAGAGAGGTTAGCGGCGCTGGTCAGAATGAAACCGAGAGAAAAAGGAGAAGTGGTAGCAGCGACCGAAGAAAGCAAAACTTTTGGTACGGTTTCCAGGATAACTAACCAGGATAAGGAGCAAATCACAAGAAACAGTGGGTAACAAAGTCAAGAGCACCTTCGCGTGAGCTGGGAGAATTGATGACAAAGTTGGAACAGATAGACAAAAAGCTAAAGATCAGCGATGAGGAATACCAGGAGTTGAAAAAGGAACTTTGACACAATAAGAATCAGAACCTAGATAACTACTATGTCCTGGCGAGGGCCACTGAAGAAAAGCTACAACAGATGGCTGACAAAGTGGAGACGACCGACAACAAACGAGAGAAAAATGTCGAAAAAGACATGGAGGAAAAGGAAAAAGCGATATGAAGGAAAAGTTGTGAAACCTAGAAACCAGAATGGACCCAATGAGCAAGGACCTTGCAGAAAGTTCTTGTGCCAAACACACCAAATTGGATGCACTCTTGAGAAACTCTATAGCCCAAAGTAAGTCGATGAAAGACAAGCAACCTGGAACTAGAGTCGATTTTGTAGAACCGCAGCGCAAGGAACGGGAGTCAACATCATTACCACGGATTGAAAACATCATAGGGTCGAGAGTGACCAGGAGTGCTATGAAAGGGAAGCCTCAAACTCGACGAGGACACCCGGGGATACAAGTGCACACACGGGTGTAACACCAGATGCCATGACATGTGCGAGCACCTCGGAAATGATGAACAGGACACTTGAAGCATTTCCCACAAGGAACACAGACTCAAGTGACAGATGAAGTGGTAAATCCAGAAAAACCTTCAAGAAACCGAAGGAACTCAAAGACAGACAATTCAGATGGTTGCATTGACACCTTGGTTGAGGTAATGAGACTACATCTAGAGCATGACAACCTAAATGATGAGAGGCAGGCCTGCACAGCGATATTAAACAATCTAGAGGGCACAGCACTACAGTGCGTGGAAACCAAGAAGAAAGAGGAGCGTGATACCGCAGATGAAATTTTTTGAATTTTTGTTGAATCGATTCGGATCAGGTATGAACGGTCATCAAGCAACGATGAGAATTGAAAAAAAGACGAAGAGATGACGAATCGATTGATCGATTTCTGGATGATCTTGAGAGCTTGAGGAGAAGAAGCGATCCAGAGGAATCAACTAACAGAAGAAACTCTAGCATTGCTTCAAAGTTTATCGACGGGGTGAAAAGTGACGACTCGAGAACGATGTTGGCAACGTATTATACTCTCTACCAGAGGACATGAGACAGAAGTCAAGAAAGTATATTTTAATGAAACCAAAGAAGAACTCGTTTTCGGAAAACAGAAATATGCAAAGGGGAGGCCAACAACAAAGGTCAACATGGTATAAGCCCAGAGATGAGATGAATAAACGAAGGTCACGGGCGAATTGTGGATCGGCGCATCACCATGTAGCGGATTGCATAACATACAAGCAGGGCATGAAAAGCTGGGGATATGCGCCTGACAAAGAAGACATGAGTCTAACTGACGAACACGAGTTTTACAGTGGCTTAATCATCCAAGTAGGCGCGATGTGTTTTTTCTGAAATCAAGAGGGCCACTTCAGGATGGACTGTCCCCTGTTTTGGGAAGCAATGAAGAATCAGAGTCACCCAAAACACAAGTTGGCACTAGCTGCGGTGCAAAACACCTGGAATAGACAAGCTGAGAATGACTTGCAGAACAGAGAGAGAGCGAGTGGTGAGTTATCAACAAACACTGGAAGGGCCGTGACACAAGTCAGAGACGCTGGGGGTGCAGGGATAAGGAATTGACTAGAGATAAACTATGAGAAAGCATCTGCAGATGCTATCAACAGAGTGAAGCAAGACTTAGCAACCAAAGAAATTGAGCAACGGTTACAACTAGAAATAGAAAGACAAACGGTGAACAAGACATTCTCGATAACCAGGCCAGAACCAGAGACCGGAGAGAAACTGACGGGCAAGAGTAATTGCAACACCTTGAAGATGGTGACCGGTAAAACCCTTTGCTATCACGAAGATTGAAGCGAAAATTATGTCAATACTCACGGTGGGCGCTCATCAAGTAACGAGGAACCTGAGTGAACATAGCGACCAAACATGATTGCACATTGACGTGTATGCGGATTACTTAAGTACAATGAGCCCGCAAACCCCTTCTAGAGCACTCAGGGCATTACTCACGAGAGGTGGTGGTAAATCAACCAGGATAGACAGAAGATACACGGAACTCTATGGTCCACATGAGGTCATGTTGAACATAGATGGAATTAACATCTACACAAAGACGATGATAACATGCAACAAAGATCTAGCCAGTCAGATCTTTGTTGGTCGAGAAGAACTCAAAGTGAGATCGATTGGGCACTGCGCATGCTGGAAGAAGGTGCTATGCATCTGGGAACGGAAGCAGACGTATCTGCACATGTACTGGACATAAGCGGGAAGAACACCCAACTGCGAGGATTGTTGAACACAGGGGCCGTCTTGGGTGTAATACCAATTGAAACATGGAGAAACATGGGATTTGACAAAAATGACTTGATAGGTTCCAGAATACGGCTGTCAGCAGCAAATAATTTCGATGTAGCAATTGATCTTAACAATGCTATTTTCATATTCGAAACCTGGAAAGGAATTAAGTAATTATACCGGTAATTTTGATAATGACAAATGAAAATAAGGTTCCAGTGTTCTGGAATAGAAGGGAAAGGTTGAAACGAACGAGGGTGCAATAGTAAGTTTAAGGATGAAGAATTATAATGAACTAAGGGACAACAAACAAGTATGTATAGTACCCAATCCAAACAGTCAAATTGCTGCTATTTTAGGTCAGTGTCTTGTTGAATACGCTTGATATACCAATCACAATCCAGAGGGGGAGGAAATTAGGATACGAACTGTCCGTAACTAGATATGAAATGATTGAAAAGGTGAAAGAAAATGAAGTTCTTGAATGCCCGAATCGCAGGGATAAAAGTTGTATCTTGAGACGATTGAAAAAAATAAAATGTTCATCAGGTCTTGTGAAATCACTTAAGGCAGAGACAGACGATGGACTGTCGAGCTGTTCGAATTTTCCAGAAAGACCCACACCAGAGGAGTTGGAAATAGATAAACCGGTATTACCAGAAATTGAACACTTAATCGGCAAGGTAACAGACAAACAGCTCGAAGCCGTCAAGGATGTGCTAGATAGGAATCAGGACGTTTTTTCGAGACATAAGGCAGACATCATGTACTGTAATTTTGTTTATAATGAAATAGAGCTAGAGGAGTTGGCGGTACCGCACAGGGAGGGGTCGAGGCGTATGACCCCAAACAAATCAGACGCATTGATAGAGACCCTGCTAGAGTATGATATGATAGAGCCATCCAAATCCACGTGGGCGTGTGGAGTAACGATGGCTAAAAAGAAAGGAGACCAACTTAGGCTTTGTTGTGACTTTCGATATCTGAACTCCGTCACGGTGAAGGATGCCTATCCCATACCTAGGATAGATGAGAGTCCTTGAAAATTAGGAGATACAAAAATTTTTACATCTCTTGATCTTGGGTCGGCTTTTTGGCAGGTACCACTAAGGAAACAAGACAGGGACAAAACGGGATTTGCTTGCGAGCTGGGGTTGTTTAAATGGAAGAGGATGCCCTTTAGCCTTTGCAATGCGACAGCCACGTTCCAACGACTGATGGCAAAAGCACTGACAAGCGCGACGAAGAAATATGGCAATTTGGTAATGTGTTACGTAGATGACATGGTGATTGCAACACCTACCCTGGACGACCGCATCGATTGACTGGATGAAATGTTCGCATGCATGAGAAGGGCAGGATTGAAATGCAAGCCCTCGAAGTGCGAGGTTCTTAAGGACTCGATAAAAAACCTGGGGAGGATGATGGATAAACATGGCATCAGACTAGATCAAGACGCGGTAGAAGCAGTACTGATTTGAAAATCGCCAAAAACAGAGCACCAGTTGATGAGCTTTTTGGGTTTTGCAAATTACTACAGGGAGTTCATCAAGGGCTATGCAGATAAAGTATATCCAATGCAACAACTCATGAGGCACAAGGGCAAGAAGTTCAAGTGGAATAACGCGCCAGAGGAGTCTTTTCAAAGAATAAAGAAAGAACTGTGTGAAGCACCTGTGCTAGGCATGCCAACAGAGAAAGGATTATATGTATTGGTAACGGATGCATCGGTGGTACCGATCTCGGGAATACTCCATCAATAACAGGAGTGGAAGGGTAGAACAGTCTTGAGACGAATAGCCTACGGGAGAAAAGTCTTGAGCGACACGGAGATGAAGTACCGGGCACCCAAAGAAAAAATGTTCGCGGTTGTCGGATTTGTGTAAAAATAAAAGAGATATCTGGGTAGCGAACTCTTCAAGCTACGGATCGACAACAGTGCACTCAGTTGGTTGAAAACGTACTCAATAGATCAGAGCTACATCGGGAGATGGATAATTCGGTTGAATGGTTACAACATGATCATTGAACACAAAACGAGGGACCAGCATCAGAATGCCGACAGCTTGAGCAAGAAGACGAAACTTTACGAGAGACAGGAAGATGATAGACCGGAGATCAAAGATGGTTTTTCGTTCATGGACAAGGAAACGTATGATAGCCTACCGCTCACGAGATGGTTCGACAAGTCAGGAAAACCGATAGAGGACCATCCCGAATTACCCACTGAGCATCAAGGAAAAGCAATTCTCGATAAAATTTGGTAGAAATAAGCTCAAGACCAAGATAGTAAGGGAAACTCTGAAGGCAAAACCCTACGAACTCGACGAAGTAGAAACAGGAAAGGTGACGGTAGGAGAGGATTTAAGGGATCTGCTAGAGAAACTAGCTGACGACAATCCCGTAGTCTCGAAAAATGACAAGGACCTACCGGAAGTCACCATAATGAAACGAGGGGAAGTAACACATGGCGGAGACTCGATAAAAACCAGGGAACCAGAGAACATGGAAGTGGTGCGATCACTAGTTGAGAGAATCCCGGAAGAATATTCAGGCGAACAACACTTTGAAGGAAGAGAGTGTCGTTGAAGGAGGACGTTGAAAATCTCGGACTAGATCAAGAGTCCGAAGAGTGGCCAACACCAGAAAGGGATGGTGAAGGGGAAAATTTGTCCGGGGAGTCAGAAGAGTGGGACGAACAAGATTCAGAAGGTTCAGAGAAGAGTGATGATGAACAAGATAGTCTCTGCATGATACTAGCTGAAGAAAAAAGGAGGTATCACGACAGGGAATTGCAAACTGATCCTTCGTCCGGAACATGCAACCTGAAGCAACACGACGCGTAGGGAGGTGAAGAGCTTGAGATGATAGCAGTGTCTAGAAAACATTTCAGGGAA